GAAACAGTAGCTAGTTGCTATTTAGCTTGGTGCTAACAGTTGTGCGCGTCTGCCGTCGTGGGGGACACCGTCGAAGGGCGCGCTCCACAAGTGGCTTCCCACAGACGGCTCAACATTCACCCGACATTCTCGTAGGACATCGCTGGGCGGTCTGTGCTCATCGCTGCGGCACTGGCGGCACTGCCAAAGATCGTCGGCGGATGGTGCTGTTGGGCCTGCTGCTGCTGCTGTTGCTGGTGGGGATGCTGTTGTTGTTGTTGTTGCTGCTGCTGCTGGTGTGGATTATGGGCGTGATGCTGCGCCGGCGGCTGTTCGCTGCGCAACTGGGCCAGCGGGAACATGATATTGTGCGTCATCTGAGGATGATGCAAGTGCTGCTCATTGGGTGGCGGCGGGGGCTGCTGGTGAGCGGCGTGCTGCTGCTGATGGGCAGCCTCCAGCTTGCGCTGCTCACTCTGCTGCTGATGCACCTTCTCGGCGTTCTCCTCGTACTTCTTCTGCAGCTGAAACAGTGGCATCTGCTGTGGGGCATGCAATGGCACCGGATCGACCTGTGACTGCGGCGACGCTTCCTTCTCGCCCTTCTCGTACTTCTTTTGCAGCTGATACATGCTGTGCGACAGATGGGCGGACGCGGAGCTGCTGCTGCTGTTGCTGCTCTGCTTGGCAGCTGAGGAGGTTGAGGCCGAGGACTTCTCCGCCTTGACTGGTGACTTCTTTTGGTACTTCTTTAGGATTTGCATCAGCTCAGACTTCACATCCAGCCGTATTTCCTCTGGCACTCGCTTGATCTCCTCGTACAGCGAGAGGAGGAACAGCTTATCCGGATCACGCTGCTTGCGCTTTTTGCTCTTCTTGGGAAACGCATCTTGCATGAACTGCAGCAGCTTCTCCTCAAACGGCGACTCCCGCTGCAGTGACGCATTTGTGTGTTGCCGCCGCAACAGATGCGGATGCAGGCCACCATGAAAGGCCGGATGCTGGGGCATGCCAGGATGCGGCTGCGTGCTGTTGCCATTGCTGTGCTCGCCACCTCCGCCCCCATTATGCGACTGCAGCTGGGTCACGTTCTGACCCTGGTAGGAGCCACCGTTCGAGGAGCCTGGCGCATCGTTTGTCTCGCCATCATTGGTGTGATGATCCTGCGGCTGCTGRGCACTGTGSGACTGGGGATCCTTTGGGTGTTGCATGTGCTGCTGCTGCTGCTGGCCAGCAGCAGCCGTCAGTATGGCATCGCAAAAGTGCTCCGGCACGTAGTCGAAGCCAGTCATAAAGTTCTCCGGCTTCAGCTCCCCGTTCATTTCCTCGTAAAAGTACTCAGTGCCCACTATRTCAATTATGTCGTTATCCTCCTGGTTCAGCTCAATGCCCGGTGGCGGCGACCCACCGGACAGCTGGCAACGCTTTAGCTCCGCCAATTTCTTTCGGGTCGTCAAACGCATATCGCGCCAGCACTACAA